GCCATTTGAATTAAAATACTCAATTTTTATTTATGATGCCATTATGTTTATACTCATTTGAATGTATCTCGCTTATTCTTGATTGATTGTCTCCCACCTGTGAGTATGTTATAGCTAAATCAATTCTCTTGAAGACGTGTCCCATTATTTTTCATTTTGATCACGTCAACATGGTCAAAAAGAAAAAATTTTTGGAGCCCTTTTATCTCTCATTCTTAAAAGATGTAAAACAATAGAACAGAGTGGGGGCGGCAGACTGTATTTCGACGCTATCAGACTAATATATAGGTAATTTGAAGGGAAAGTTTGTGTGGCATTACCAACTAACAGGCGGTTTTAAATAACACTTGACAATGTTTAATTTCGTGTGCTATTACTGTACACCCACACATGGTGACGTGCGTGTCTGTTAAAATTTGAAAATTCTCCATATTACTATTTAGATAGTTTAAAGAACGCTTCGGGTCATTTTCAGCATTTCAAAACTTTCCATAATTTGCCCGCCGTACGTTCATTTCCACGCACACAGCACATATTAAAGCTGGAAATCATGTTTTGTTACATTGTGTTCTCGACACATTATTCATATCAGGAGTCACTCTTTGTGCTGTTACCGTGCTCACGGGCGTCAAGACGTACGTGTACACATGCGGAAATCTTTTAAAATGCTCAAAATTATTCTTTTAAAAAAAACTAATTAAAGCATATTTTAGCATATTATGACACTTTTCAATCAGCACCGCGTGATCTTAATGATGGTCAAAGTGTGGCGGATCACCTAACTCGTCCTCAGCGACGAGTTCAAATCTAGTTAGTCTTGTGTTTCATTTTAGGCCCAAACCTAAGCCTAGCCACGGCCGCCGAAAATGATGCATGCTGTGTGTATCGATTGCCTAGGCCTAGGAAATGCATTATTAGGTGGGTTTGATAAAAGACGTCCTCAAAAGCTAATACGAATCATTCTGTCACTGCAAACGACTTCGCAAGTGTAGGAGAAGCATAAATTACTTTCCTCCACTCCACAGCAAAAAACAATCATACCCTACGAGCAGCAGTCGACTTAAATGTGAAGTGGCCAGCTGAGACAGGCCGACACAGACAAATTTTATCCAAGCGGGACCGGCTTTAGCAGCTAAAGTCAACCCGGAGGACCGATTTTAGTAGTCCGGCAGACCGATTATGGCAGCCAAAATCTGTCCGCCTTACATTTTTTGGCCCGGACCAATTTTGGCGTGACAGGCCTATTTTCCATTGTTTATAATAAATAGAGTAATGCATTTGCATTTTTTCTAAAAATAAATTCTCTTTTAGTGAAATTTTGCCGGGAATGGGCTATAAATGATACAATCAATCCTACAAAATTTGATGTTACCAATGTGTTTGCTTTTGACAATAAAGTTATTCTTAACTTATAATATGATATATTCACAGGTGTGTTTGATCTTCTCATTTACACTGACATGGATCAAGAAACACCCGAGACTTGGGAAGAGTCTGGTCCACGTATGATAGTCAATTGCCAGGAAGTTAGACTGCGATCATTTACAACCTCTGTACACAAAGTTGATGCAATGGTTTGTTATAAAAATGATGACTAATAAAAACTCCCAATTTTCATGTGGTTTAGTCACCCTAAGGAAGAAACGCTACAACTCTCAAAAATTTATGTACTGTAGATCACTCCTTTATTGAAAGTTATCAAAAACCTTTGTTAAATAAGTATTTTCTAGTACAGACTTAAATACAAACAAATTCACAGAAATTGAATGACAGTAGCTATTGTTACAACAGTAAAAAAAAAACAATTGCTAAATTAGATTGGATGTTACTCCAATCCATACATGCAATAACATCCACTCAGAATTAGGGATTGAATTAAGGCTGGTGTAACACCACTGGTGTACCTAATATAAAAGGTCTTCCTTTATTTATAAATTTGGTCAGTTGCTAATGTCCACATTTTTTTTTTTTTTAAATAAAATTATGGTAAAATATATAAATAGATTTATATATCGGAGTAGATTTTTAGCAGGTTGTTATAAATGTTTGTTATCCTGTGTTCAGTATTTAAGATAGTTGAATGAAATATAAAGACCAAAATTTGAAATGAAAGGAGAATTGGAAGAAAAATGAAAATAAGGATACATAAAATATGACATTGTTAGGGAAAACATGCACATTCATTGATGGTTATTTCAAATTATAATTTGCACTTAAATTATAACACCCCTATTTATGGTTGTCAAATGATTATTGTATATAGCTGTACATTATTAATTTACGTTTCACTGTAATTAGATTAGTGAATTAGCTTACTGTAGTTTTTTTTTTTATGTCATACAGTAGTCTGTTTTGCATTAACATAGTAATGAACTGATATTAAAGATTATCATTAGCATCATTTTAAATTGTGTTTAAATGGTGTTTTAATTTTTCTTCAGTCAATAAATTTTTTTGGGGATTTATCGATTCATGGAAAAAAGAATATGCATGCAACTACTCATTTATTTATGTATACACATAAAATAAAAAATGAGAAAAATTTACCTGACTGTTTTGAAGAGGGAAAAACCTGGAATTTTGAAGGACTTAGAAATTCATTTAAAAGACATTTCAGAAATCAGGAAAGCTCATTTCTCGCATTCCAGAAATCGAAATTTTCCCGGGGGAACCCGGACCCCCTTTTTCTTTGATTAATTGAATCATTTTCAAGAGGGGGAAAACCTTGAAATTGAAGAAATTAAAAGTAATTAAAAGACACTCAGAAGTCGGGAAAGCTCATTTCCCGCCTTCTAGGAATCAAAATTTTCCAGGGGGAAATCTACTATCTACTGTAATAACAATGGGAACAATTTACCTGACCATTTTCAAGAGGGGAAAACCTTGAATTTTGAAGAACTTAAAGTCGCTAAAAGATACTTCAGAAGTCGGGAAAGCTCATTTCCCACCATTTAGAAATAAACATTTTCCCGGGTTAGAACCTGAACCTCCCTTTTCTCTTTGGGTTCATTGATTCATCATCATAATTTTCAAGAGGGGAAAACCTTGAATTTTGAAGAACTTAAAAGTAATTAAGACACCTCAGAAGTCGGAAAAGCTCATTTCCCGCCATCTAGGAATCAAAATTTTCCTGGGGGAGAACCGCCGGAACCCCCCCCCCCCTTTTTTTCTTTGGAGCTTATCGATTCATTGAAAAAAGAATATGTATGCAACTACTATTTTAAATATTTTTTTTATGTAGGTGTATACACACAACCGACCAATTTACTGTAATAAGAATGAAAAAGTTTACCTGACCGTTTTCAAAAGGGAGAAAACCTTGAATCTTGAAGAACAAAGACATCACTTAGCTCAAAAGTCGAGAAAGTTCATTTCACGCCATCTAGATATCAACATTTTCCCGGGGCAGTGCCGGACCCCCCTTTTGTTTTTGTTAAAAATGTTGACCCCCACCCCCTAGGTTTGCCAGATCTGCATGAATCATATTCCCATTCATCTTACAAGTGTGCCCCTCCCCCCTCACTTTGAAAATCGTTCCGCCAGCCCTGATGTTGGTACATAAAATTGGACGTAATGTAGTAGGGGGATTTGTACCCTAGGAACCAGGGTATAATGTTTTGATCTGTCTGTCGAAAGTTGCTAACATGCTGTTCTAAAAGAAATGTTTAATTTTTTTAATTAAATGTTTACTAAAATTCACCATCTGTATATCTTTACAAATCCTCTATGAACAGATTATACTATAGTGATACATAATCAAGGGGAAAAGCATCAGCAGGTGGGCCACCGGGCCTAGGCCCAGCTCTTGTGGTGTTATAAAGTGTCAATGAAAAAATGTTCAAAACATTCCAAGCCACAGACAGCTGACCTGAGAGTATCATTTTTGGCGGGGGTGGCGCCAGCGGCGGGAAAAAAATGTACATGTATTCTACATTTTAGTAGACCCCAAAACCGATTAAATAAGTCTTTGAAACCACTAAAATGTCATATTTTCCCCCTGGAACATTTTGAGTAACACCCGACCACGCCCACATTTTTCGTCGGGAATATCCCCCGTCGGGCAAATCCTGGAGCCACCACTGGGGTGTGGAGCACCTGTCGGGAAAATGCTGATGACACCGCTGCTATTTTATAAACATTCAGACAGGTCAAGCACTCCTACCTTCTTCACCCCTTTCCTAATGTAGACTACAAGTCATCAGAAAATATGTTTGAAGTCGAGTCATTGTTATCCAACAAGCAGGAAATCCGGCTTTGCTTTCTCTTTTTTTCTTTCTTTTATTCTTTTTTTACC